ATTCAGGTTGAAGTTAATGGTCATTTTTCCAACAAACCTGTTTCAGCATGAATTCAATATCCAATTCATTTATTCAATGCATCCCATGCTTAATCAACATTCTCAAACCTATTACTCAACATTCAAACATTTCAGCAACATATCTTATCACTTGTCTTAGACTACCACATATTCTCCATTGCAGGAAAATTTGTTAAACTAAAAGAGATTATCAAACCTTCAAGCAAAAAGGCTTTAAACCTTCTTCTTAGCTTCCTTTTCTTCTCACTTTGAGCTCACCTCTCCTATACAATAATAAACATCTTATTAATCAATCCAAATCTCCCTAAATTATCAAAAGTATTGGCAATTTAAGAAAATTCAACTCTTGGATTTAGAGATATAGGTTGAATTTGATGCTTTGAAAGTTGAATATTAAGATAGAAAATGGAGGAAGATTTAGGAGAAGATAGAGAAGGTAAAGTGAATGGAATTTTCGGTGAAGGAAGAAGACAAAGGAGAAGATGGAGAAGGTAAAATGAAGGAAGAAGACAAAGGAGAAGATGGAGAAGGTAAAGTGAATGGAATTTTCGAGTAACCTTCAAATATATCTTCTAGTATATTAAAAAATTACCAAATAGTACATAAATTTTCAATATTTTACCATTTAATACCTAAACTTTATACTTTATTTCAATTAGGTTCTAATCCTTATACTTTTATTTCAATTGAGTCTACATCTTTATGTTTTATTCAATTAAGTCCAATTCTTTTATTTATTTAATTTTTATGGCTCGAATACGAACCGGGGTTCTGATTCGTTCCAACTCGACTCGGAACTCCTAAATGCAATCGACTTTGATTCATATTTCAATTGAGTCTACATCTTTATGTTTTATTCAATTAAGTCCAATTCTTTTATTTATTTAATTTTTATGGCTCGAACCGGGTTCTGATTCGTTCCAACTCGACTCGACTCGCTAAATGCAATGACTTGATTCAGTAGGATGTCATAAATGTTGTTTTCAGATTTTAAATAGTCGAAGCATGATAATATTAACTTTCTTATCCAGATGTATCACTATCTTTTCCGACTGAGGTAATTAACTCTCTAATCTCTTTTTTCATTCTTTTTCTTTTTCTGTTTATGGAATGAACTTTGCATGGATTTCTCTGTTGTTTTATTTATTTGCAGGTCATGTCCTTTGTATTTGAAAATTCAATAGAGGACACGCAAACTCAATATTAAGTAGTTACTTTGTACCTTTTTAAAAAAATAATATTTTATCTTCTTAATTTTTATATTTTGGAGTGTGGCATTTTAAAGATTTTGATATTTTTGGTTCTTATTTATTTAGTCTCATATAATTATTGTTTATTATTTAGAAGTATAAGCATTCTTTCATAAAAAATAATAAGTATAAGCATTCTATTCTTTTTAAGAAATTATTGAAATTTTTTTTTACTATTTAACTGGATATTGTGGTTATATATATATACCTACCTAAAACTTAGGTCTTTAAAAATTTCAAATTCAAACTTTTTAAATAAAAATATAGAAATAAATAGTTAGACTTTGTTTTGTATAAAACTTTCTATTTTTAATCTATTTAAGTTCTATATATTAAATTAAAACTAAAATAACTTTTTATTTGGAATTATTATATATTAATATTTAATTTTTTAATTTTTCTATATTTTTCCATTTTTTTAATAACTAGTTAGCTTAAATTTAAGGGGAAAAACCAGAAACTTTCATAGAAAAAAGGAAGCTTTAGGGGCTTCTACAAAAGACCAAATGCAAGATAGAACCTCTTCCACCCAAATAAGTTCTTCTTCCTCAAAAAGAGAAACTGACTTAGCTAAATTATGGGCCACCATATTGCCCACCCTACGAGTATGACATAAACTAAAAGAGAGAAAAGAATCAGCAATATTAAGCAAATTCAAAAAACGTGTGCCAAGCTCATTTCCTGGAAAGGACTTGGTTTTCAAAGCCTGAACCACCAAACGACAGTCAAGCTCTAAACTAATAGAGGAAAGACACGGCTCCTTCACTCTTTGCAACGCATAAATGGCTACTTCACATTCAAACTCAACCGGTTCTAGAAGACCTACAAGTTTTCTTGCTTCCATTGCCAACAGGTCTCCCATGTTATCTCGAGCTATAAAACTCAATCCAACCTCAGTGACATGTGAGAAGATGGCTGCACCTGCATTCACCTTGACCCAGCCCGAAACTGGAGGGAGCCAAAAAATCGATCCCGTGGAACTGCTTGAGATGGAGAACTGATACCATTCAAAAGTTGAAATTCAGACCATGTGGAGACAGGTCGGCCAATGACTTGAGTCTCAAGCATCCTAATATTTTGAAAAATCAAAAGATTTCTAGAACGCCAAACTGCCCAAAGAAGCATAAATAGAAGCTCTATTTGCTCTTTTTTCATCCTATAACATGAGATAGAATCCATTCAAAAACTGAGGTGTCTTGAACATCTACCGATAAACTCAGGGGGGACATATACCATATTCTTTGAGCAGCTGTGCATGAAATGAAAATGTGAAAATCAGTCTCAACATCCATACCACATATCTGACAAATCTCATCAACCTGAACATTTCTTCTGTTTATTGCCAGTTTAATGGGTAGCTAAGAAAAACAAGTTTTGTATACCAAATTCTTAACTTTAGGAGGAATTTTTGGCTTCCAAATAAATTGCATTATATGAAGTTTGGCTAGAAGAGCTGTTACCTGAGTCCCGATCTATAGCATTTAACGCAAAGAAAATAGGTTGACTGAACTGTAAAATTACTAAGTTTTGTATGCGGCCAAATAAGGATATCTCTTTCCGGTCGACAGCTAAGAGGGATTTGTAAACTTTCCTTAGCTTCAAAAGGAAGAAAAATGGATCGAACTAAATCAGTGTTTCAAGCAAGAGAATCCGGCACAACAAGGTGTCTGACCATATCATTTTTGTCAAGAATGCGAGGGGGAGACCAAGGTCGGAAACCATTCTGATGCGGTAGCCAATTATCATTCCATATGCAGATCGATGCTTCATTACAAATAAGCCAGCTAGACCCCTTGTCTATCAACCATCACGCTTCCATTAAACTCCTCCAGGTGTAGCTAGGCTGAAAACCAATATTAGCTTCAGAAAAAGAACAGAAAATACCTGGCTTTGAGCATTCGAAATAATAGGGAATCTCCACTGGTGTAGAGCCTCCAACATTGCTTTGCTTTGCTAGCATTTTATTATATGAACTTAAATTTATTTATTAAAAAAAAAAGACAATTATATCTATAGTTTATTCTACATGGATTAAAACTCCTATTAATTCTAACAACAAACCTTGCAAGCCTACAATGTGGACCGAGGCTTGTGCTGGATTATCAAGGACCAATATAATTAAAGCTGACCATTTGACCATTTAAAAGCATACTAGTCCTTATCCATGAAAAAAGTTTACAGAATTTGGTGGCACCATTCATTAGTGACCATTCAAGATTTGGCATTTCTCTCTCAAGATTTTGTATGTAAATATGTTTTTTTGCAGAAAAAAAAAAAGTTCCAAGTGAGTGGTGAGTACAGATTCTTTCTGTTAACTTTTTTTGCTTGAATATTCTCAGCTTTTTAACTCTATGATGAATTAAAAGTAAATTGGTTTTAACGCTCCATTTGATATAAATGAATTCAAAATATGAAATTCATTTGTGAATAAATTTTCATATTTGGTATGATTAGTTTAAGATATAAATACCAATTATATTTATGTGATGCTATATAAATTTTTTTATTTTAATTAAAATAAATGTATAAAATAAAAAATTAATAAAATTATTGCATTTAATTTAGTGACAATAAATATATATTTTACTTGAATCTCTCTCCCTAGTAGTAAAAAAAATTAGAACATATTAAAATAAAAGATGAAAAATATTAAAATAAAAAACACAATAAAAATAAAATATTTTTTTTAAAAATAAATTTTTAAATGATTTTGGTCAATTTTGACAAATTAAATAAATAAAAAATTGAAAAATTGACTTTGTGAAAGGAGGAAGTTAGTTTTGTTATAAAAAGTCTGCTTAGTTTCATTTGGAAGTTGCATATCTCGTCTTATTACGTCTCCTCCCTATTATTGCTGCTACTGCTGCTTAATATCTATCTTCCTTACAAAAAAATAAATTATTTTTAAATGATTTTGCCTGTCAATTTTTGACAAATTAAATAAATAAAAAATTGAAAAAAAAAATTGACCTCTTTTGTGAAAAGGAGGGAAAGTTATGTTTTGTTTATAAAAAGTCTGCTTTTAGGTTTTCATTTGGAAGTTGCATATTCTCCGGATCTTAAGTTAACGTCTCCTCCCTATTCATTGCTTGCTACCTGCTGGCTTAATATCTTCTTCCTTACAAACTTCCCTTTTTTTTTTTTTTCTTTTGGCAGCCAGGATAGCATCAGTCATTAATTCATTGGTTAAAACCTCTGCTGTTTTTGTTATATTTCTTCTTCTTCTCAAATTTCATCTCTCTCTTTCAGCTGGATAGAATCACTGCAAACCAATCTCTTCTCTGGTGGCGTGGACCAAATCTTATTATCTCTAAATGTGAGGTTAACCTTCACACTTGGGCTTCTTTAAACCAGGTTAACTACCTCTACAACAACTTACATAGGCATTTAGGTACAATTAAAATATTCGCCAGCCGAACTAGTAGTTTGGGTAGCAAATAGAGAAGAAACACCAGTTTTTTCTGATAGTATTTATTCTCGAGAGTTTAGCCATTTCAAATTGGGTAATATTTAGATTCTTTTAAATAGAGTCCCAAATTTATCCAATTTTGGTCTACAAAATTTATGATAAATATTCTAATACTTCGGAAGTCTTTTAGAAGCCACATATTCTTGATGAGGGAATTTGTATTTTTTAAATGGATCTGTTCGAAAGAGCCATTATCGATTGCGCAAAGTTTTTGCATCAATCCAGCTGGACAACATGGCTCTCCTCGTGTTGGCCTGCAAACCAATCTCTCTCTGGTGACCAAATCATTATCTCTAATGGAGGTACCTTCACACTGGGCTTCTTTAAACCAGGTAATACCTCAAAATACTACATAGGCATGTGGTACAATAAAATATCGCAGCGAACTATAGTTTGGGTAGCAAATAGAGAAACACCAGTTTCTGATAGATATTCTTCAGAGTTAGCAATTTCAAATGGTAATTTAGTTCTTTTAAATGAGTCCAAAATTCCAATTTGGTCTACAAATTTGAAATCTAATACTTCGAAGTCTTTAGAAGCCATACTTCTTGATGATGGGAATTTTATTTTAAATGGATCTGTTTCGAAAGAGCCATTATGGCAAAGTTTTGATCATCCAGCTGACACATGGCTTCCTGGTGCCAAAGTTGGATTGAACAAAGTTACTAGAGAAAACACACGTTTAGTTTCATGGAAGAGTAAAGAAGATCCTGCACCAGGTCTGTTTTCTTTTGAGCTAGACCCAAATGGATCTAGTCAATGTTATGTTCTTTTGAATAATACCAAAGTTATTTGGAGTAGTGGAACTTGGAATGGGCAAACCTTTACCTTAATTCCAAAATTTATGTTGAATTATATTTACAATTTCAGTTATGTAAATAATGCAAATGAGAACTATTTTAAATATTCTTTGTACGGTAATTATGCTATATACCGATTTGTGATGGATATTCGAGGGCAGATTCAACGGCAGTCTTGGTCTGAACCTTCTAAGCAATGGCAATTGTTTTGGGCTGAACCAAGAGTGCAATGTGAGGATTATGCTTACTGTGGCGCGTTTGGTAGCTGCAATATTAATTCGAAACGTCTCTGTCATTGTTTGACTGGTTTTGATCCTAAGTCAGGAGATGATTGGAATTCAGAGTTTTATTCTGGTGGGTGTGTTAGGAGGATGAGTCTGCAGTGTGGGAATTCTAGCCTGGTTAATGGCAAGGGAGATGGGTTTTTGGCTAGTTATAATATGATATTGCCTGAAAATTCAGAGACGGTGGCAGTTGGAAGTGGTGAAAAATGTGAATTGCGTTGCTCGAATGACTGCCATTGTACTGCTTATGCTTATGAAAACTACCAGTGTTTGATTTGGATTGGAGATCTTTTAGATGTAAAACAGGTTGCAGATGGTGATCCTAGTGGAAAAACACTCCATGTTAGGCTTGCAGCTTCTGAGTTTTCAAGTTCTAAGAATAACAAGGGAGTAATTATTGGGGCGGTTGTGGGCTTGGTAGCAGTTGTTGGTGTTGGCCTTGTTATATTTTTAATTTTCAGAAGGAAGAGAAGACGCAAATTGGGTAAAACCGTAACGGGTTCACTGATTGCTTTTCGGTATAGAGAGTTACAAAATGCAACAAAGAATTTCTCGGAGAAATTAGGTAAAGGAGGTTTTGGTTCTGTTTACAAAGGGACATTGCCAGATTCAAGCGTCATTGCTGTAAAGAAGCTTGAAAGCATTAGTCAAGGTGAGAAGCAGTTTCGTGCAGAAGTCAACACAGTTGGGAGTATCCAACATGTCAATCTAGTTGGCCTTCGTGGGTTTTGCTCTGAAGGAACTAAAAAACTGCTGGTTTATGATTATATGCCTAATGGTTCACTTGACTTCCATATATTCCGTGAAAAGACGTTGGGCTGGAATAACAGATACAGTGTTGCTTTAGAGACGGCAAGAGGATTAGCTTATCTTCATGATAAATGCAGAGACTGCATTATACACTGCGATATAAAGGCAGAAAATATCCTTTTAGATGCTGAAATGCGCCCAAAAGTGGCAGATTTTGGACTGGCAAAGCTTGTGGGGCGAGACTTTAGCAGAGTACTCACATCAATAAGAGGCACAAGAGGTTATCTTGCACCAGAATGGCTTTCAGGAGTGCCTATAACGGCTAAGGTTGATGTATACAGTTTCGGAATGATGCTTTTCGAACTTGTATCGGGGAGGAGAAACTCTCAGCGACCTGAAGACAGAGAAGTGAAGTTCTTCCCAACTTGGGTTGCTAGGCAAATAACTGAAGGTGGTGATATCCTTAGACTATTGGATCCAAGATTAGATGGCAATGCCGATTTGGATAAGCTAATAAGAGTCTGCAAAGTTGCTTGCTGGTGTATCCAAGATGATGAAACCCAAAGACCATCAATGGGACAAGTAGTTCAGATTCTTGAGGGAGTCTTGAATGTGAATCTGCCTCCAATTCCAAGATCTCTCGCGGAGTTTTTTGATGACTCCTGCACAGAATCTTCTTCTAGCTTGAGTATCCAGTCACAATCACAAACACAAAGCCGCAACCCAATGGCTTCCTCCCAGGCCACGAGCGGCAAATCATCAGTTCCAAGTCTTAGTGATTCTACTTTCGCATAGTATATAAAGATAGAGCGTAAAGAAATTGTAATAGTCAGTTTTACTTTTCCTTTTCTGTTGACATGGATACTACTAGTCAGTTGTTGTTTCTTGGATGATAAAATAGCTATCTATTTTAGGACTATAACATTTATAAAAGTCAGCTGCAAATTTTGAATTTGGAACTCAATTTCGACCACAAGAATGGCTTCTTGCATCGTGGTTGGCATTCTTTTGCTGGCATCATTTTGACTAGGGGGTGTGCAAACCTTCTGTTTTGCAGAACCCAGCAAAAGAAGAAGGAAAGGAGGCTGAAAATCTGGAGTAGTAATATAACGCTGAGGAAAATCAAGAATAATTGGCAAAAAATTAAATAAAAATCTAAACCTCATTTTTATCTTGAGCTCAGTGGGGGAGATTCTACCACAACTCTAATTTGATTTTCACTTGCTCATTAAGGAGAGTTCAATTATAAAACTAAGAAAAAGACTACTACACCGATGTGGGACAAAGTCCCTTTTTGATATACACTACAACAAAACAAGCCTTGGATTCTAAGTTTACAGATCAAGGATTTGGGGTTTACTAAATACTTTTTGGTATTGAGATAGCTAGATCCACAACTGGCACACTTTTATCTCAGCGGAAGTTTGTGTTGGATTTGGTCAAAGAAGTAGGCCTTCAAGATGCTAAGTCCTCTTCTGTTCCTTTGTCTAAGGTTGTAAGCTTACCTTGGATGATGGACCCTTATTGGAAGATCCTAATCAGTATAGGAGACTCGTTGGCAAGCTCCTCTATCTTACTTTGACTAGACTTCATATCAGCTATTCAGTACAGCATTTAAGTCAGTTCATGGCTTCACATGTAAATAAATGGAACTATAGGGCTAGTAAAGGAAAGCCGAGTTGTCGTCTAATTAATTAGATGTAAATACTAGCCTTCGATACTACTGTACTTCAACCTTTTTCATTGAATAACAATTCAATATATGATTATTAACTATTTTGGATAACTGTAAAAAACGCAGAGTTGTATATATGTCCGTGCGCACGAATGTATGTGAATATATATATATATATATATACTGTTCTTTTCATACGTGGCCGTTTATTTGACGGCTATTGTCAGCCACAAAAATTTCATGTCTTTGAATAAATCTGATTGCTTAGATATTAGCAACAAAAAAAAAAAAAAAAAAAAAAAAAAATTTCAATTGTCTTGAATAAATCTGATTTGCTTAGATATTTAGCAACAAAAAAAACAAAAAAAAAAAAAAATTTTTAAGCTCCTTTTAAAGAAAATCTTAAGAAGATACAATACCTTAGATGGGTCAAAAGATTTGTTATCTCTCAAATCTAAAAGGAAGAAATAACCGCATTAAAGGCAAAAATAAGTATTTAGCAAAAAAAAAAAAAAAAAAAAAAAAAAAAAAAAAAAAAAAAAAAAAAAAAAAAAAAAAAAAAAAAAAAAAAAAACAAAATAAGTAAATATACGAGACAGGAATGAGAAAACAAAGTATCTACGTTATTGAAAAAATAAATTAAATAAAAGAACGAGAAAGAAACAACTGCTGATAAAATACGAATGGAAATTTAATTTGGCCCATAGTTCCAGTAACCAAAATACTAAAAAAAAAAAAGAAAAATTTAAGAAATAAAGGATAAAATAAACCAAGACATAATACGACTAAGAAAATGAAAATGCATGAAGCCAAAACAAAAAGGAAGGAAAAAAGGGTTTCTTTCAAGCAATCCTTCCATTAGGACTCTTCTCCTTTTACCTTTTACACTCTTTTCTCTATGGCGTATTCCAATGAACTAATATTTGTTCAGAGCCTGCCCAGAAAATATAACCAAACTGATATAAAAATTATTGCACAGAGCTTTCCCCAAAATATTGTCACTGTAAGACTAAAAAGGACCAAATATATCCCCATGTCTTTCTTCTCTTCATTTGGTCTTATTATATTATTCTTTTTGCTGTTTGGCTCTGATATTAATGAAGATGAAGATGAAGATGACGAAGACGACTCTATATTTGATTTTATCTCTTCATTTTTATTAAAGGAAGACGAACTATGCTTTGATTCGTATAAATCTTCGCTTAAAGATCTTCCATCACGAACCCGCTTGGACTGAAAACAAAGGAAACAATATAGAATAGCCTCAATATGTGAATTAATAGTTTTTTTTTTAATTTTTAATTTTCTTTAGGAGTAAATATGACCATAGTATGAAATTTTAAATAAATTTGATTGAAATTTTATGAAAATTTATATAAAAAATGTTTATTCAATTTTTCGCTAGGTATCTAATTTTTTATAATTCATGGAATTAAAAATATTAATTTTAGTTATGTGGATTTACACATCTCTAGTCTCTTGTTTGATATAAAGATTAAATAAATGAATCAAAACTTATTCTTTAAATTATAAAAAACTTTTTAGAACCCTGCATTTGATAAAAAATATTATTCGTTCGAATTTTAAATAAGAAATTTGAACAATAAAATTTAAGTCTTTCATAGTTTTATCAAATTAGTTGAGAAAATAAAATTAAAATTTGTGGAATTAATAAGCTTCATCATATTTTCAAAAAAAAAAAAAAAAAAGTGGACAATTAACTAAGCTTTCATCATTATTTTCAAAAAAAAAAAAAAAAAAATCATGCGTTGGCATCAATTTCATCATATTAAAAAAACAGAGCTTTCCACAGTGAATGATTTCTTGAATTCAATCCCTTTTTTTTATTAATGATGAAGTTTTAAACTACTTATTTTATATATTACCCATATTTTTTTTTTAATCAAAATGATAAAACAGGAAATTTAAATTCTACGGGATTCTTGAAAATCCCATTAGACCACTACTTATTATGAAATTTTGGGAAAGAATGAGAGGAAATTTTCAAAAAACGTATTCTTGTTAGCAAAATAAAATAAAGAATCACAAACACAAAAAAAAAAAAAAAAAAATCATCGTGGCATCAATTTCATCATTTAAAAAAACAGAGCTTTCACATGATATGAATTTCTTGAATTCATCCCTTTTTTTTATTAATGATGAAGTTTAAACTACTTATTTTATTATACCCATATTTTTTTTTTAATCAAATGATAAAACATGAAATTTAAATTCTACGGATTCTTTGAAAATCCCATTAGACCACTACTTATATGAAATTTTGGAAGATGAGAGAATTTCAAAAAACTATTCTTTTTAGCAAAATAAATAATAGAATTTCACAAACTACATGCATTGTCCTATTAAATTCTCTAATGGAAACATTGCTTTATAGCAAATAAAACCTAACCAAAACGATTAAATATATATAAGGTAGTAAAAGAGAAGTGAATAGAACTAACCAATATAATTTCAAACAGAACAGCTTTGATTGCTCGAGAGAAGGAAGTCTTTCTTGGAGGATGAAGAATCAAAGAATTGTCAGCTGAAGTGGTTGATGATGATGAACTCTTTGACCTTGGCTTCTTCATTTCCCCTTTCCTACTTTTAATGCCAACAATTGTTAAAGAAGAAGGATTTTGGGATCTTTTAACAGCACTTTCAGAGTCGAGCATCACCTCGTCGACTGGTCGGAAACACAGCAAGAACTTGTTTCTTGAAACGTTCTTCATAATCAATTGAAGAAGTTGAGTTTCAAAGTCATTAAAGAAATTAATGAGTTTAATTAGTGATTGTGTTTTTGAAGGTTACACTTTCATGAGTATGTTTAAAATATGGTATTTTTCTTTCTTGGTTTGAACGAGGAGCAAAAGAAATCAATGGGAAGTGCTTTATTTTATATTGTTTTGTTTTGTCTTTTGGAATGAGAGTTGGAGGCCGGCATGACATGAATTGGGACTTGGGAGACTATTTCAATGCTAGTGGACTATCATTTTATTTTATTTTTGATATTTTTATCGATTTTACTCTAATTTCGAGATTTTTTAGAAATAGCATATTCAATTTCAATTAAAGAAAAAATTATAAATAAAAAAAGAATTGATGATTGGTCATCTCTAACCATGGGTTAAACATAATTCGCCATACGTATCAACTAAAACACACCGTTTTAGTTAAAACACTTTCATGTAAACAAGATCTTTACAACTAGAGATATATCAATAACTAGCCATGTAAATATGTGATGCTCAAATTGCATTATTGTGAATGGGTGATTTTTTAGAAAATTATTGTGATTTATATTTATATTCTTTTAAATTTAAATAATTTATTTATGTATTTTGATTAAATGATAAAATGTGAAATTATATATTCATTTTGAAATTATCAAGTAATAAATTGAAATATTTATTAGCACAATAAATTATCGTAATTAAATAATTGTAATTCAATTGATATAATTAATTTTTTTAAAATTCTCATATATTCATATTTAAATACTTATTAATATTTTATAATGAAATAAGGTATAAGAAGAAAAATATTTGTGTGCATACAAGCTGACTCTTCAGATTTTTTGTTTATTTTTCACATTTCTCATCAACAAAAATAACCTTAAAATTTTCAAAAAAAAAGAAAAAAAAACCTTGAACAATTAAAATATAATATGTCAAACGAATAACTAAAAGTGAAATTCTAAAATACCTTTATCTTCCTTCTTTTCCTTTGATTTTCATTTTTCACAAAGACTTCAGATATGCAGAGGAATATCGCCGCTGCTTAGAGTTTGTCTATTGAACAACTTATGAGCTAGCGGATCAAATAACTTTTCGGCATCCACGTTAAATAAAACGAAAGTGTTTCTGATTTATTCTTAACTTTAATATTTTGTATCTATAATTTAACAAAATCACATCTATCATTTAATAAAAACAAAATGAAAATATTTATAATAAGAAAGAAGGGCAAAAGATGCAACTAAAATCTCATTTATAGAAGTAAGATTTTAGACAACATCATCTCTAGTATTGTTAGACTCACTGCAGAAAGACTACCACGTATTGATTCAATAAATGGATGGAAAAAGCAAATGCATAGGAAGAAACACAAATCATATTGAGCTATATATGATACTCCCTTGCTCCACTCATTTTTTTTTAAAGAATTAAGAAAATTATTGGAATATATTGATTTTTTAAAAATATACAGTAAAATGCCTAAATTACCCTTCTTAGAATTAAAAGTTTTTTACTTAATTTTATTATAAAATCAATATTAATTTTATCTCGTATTATTAAAGTACTTCCATTTCATTTTTCATGTCTTTTGATATAATGAAAAACTCTTAGTTGGATGTAGTCAAAATTTTAATTTAACTGTAATTAAAATAATGATAAAAAAGAGAAAAATAAATGTAAATATAAAAATAAATTATACCAAATAAATATAGATAAAATTGAAAAGAAAAATACTAATATACTCATAAAATTCTAAATAAACACTTAAAGCCAAAAATGTTTATTTTTTGCTATTAAAGTTCAACGGCGGGAGTACCAATAAACCAAAAGTTATATTTATGAAATCCATGTCATAAATGATGAGAAGAAAATCAAAGGTGTAATATTGATATCAAATCTAACTTAAAATTTAGTTATCATTACAAAATCTGACTCTTTTGCCTATTAATTAAAGTATAATAAATAATTCAAAATGAAAGTGAAAGATAGAAAGTTAATATAATTAAATTTTTTTGATAGTAAGTTAATATAATTAAATAAAGCTAGCTTATTAACGTTAGTTTATTATTAAAAATTACTATACATAAAAATTCAAAAAAAATATTAAAATTAAATATCATTGATATTCATGCATAATAACTAAAATTAATATTAGAAAAACATAAAATTTTAAAAACTATTGAAGATTATTATCCATAAAAACTCACAAAAATGTTAAAATCAAAATATTTTAATATTATTGCATAATAACTAAATATAATATTAGAAAAATAGAAACTAAAAACTATAAAAAATAATTAATCAAATAACTAAAATTTAGAGAAATTGAAAGATTACTTTATATCATAAATCTAACTCTTTTGAGAAAAACAAAATAGAAAATGAAATGAAAGATAGAAAGTTTTTCTTTTTTTTGAGAAAAATAACAAAAATATAATAAACTGAATGAAATTTTGTCAACAGAAACAAATTGCTCTGTGGAACGGGATAACCTCCTCCATCCACAGAATATCATCTAAAGAATTAAAAGCTAGGCTAGATAGCTCGTGAGCCACTCTATCTATAGCTCTAGTATGGGTACATCTAAAATTGTCAGCAGTTTTAGCTAACAGATCAGTATTTAATACCCTGGTTCCAAAATCAGAAGTAGGAAATTGATGAGAAGTGATATGCTGGGCCAATAAGATAGAGTCTGTGGTTAAGAGTTATTTTATTATTAAAACTTACTATGCTTAAAAACTTCAAAAAACATTATATTCAAATGCACTTTAAAAACCCCAAAAATGATTTATTAAATCTTAATATAAATGAAACTCTAAAAATATTAAAATAATATATTACTAATATTATTGCATAGAAAAATAACAAATGCACTTTAAAATTGCACAACTAAAATTACTGGCAAAAGAAATTAAAAGGTCACTTAAGATCATTTCAAGTTAAAAAAAAAAGTACAAAATTAATTACATAATAAGTAAATTTAAATTCAAATAACTAAAAAATTTATTACATTATAACTAAAATTAATATTAATAAATAAAAAATATTAAAAAATAACAATAAAAAAATACTGAAACAATAGAGCTCCATACAAGATTTAAAAACATCTCCTTTTTTATATATATATATATATAACCGTATTTTTGTAACTCCATTATTTAATAAAATTACTTAATATTTATGAAATGGAAAAAAAGGTGAAATGTCACATCAACACTTGTATATTCTAACTAGTCGTTGTTTCGTGCATCGCGCACGAGTATATTTAGATAAGTAATCTCATTATGAAATAGAAAAAATAAAATAAAAATTTCAAATAAGACATAAATATAGATACATATAACATTTTCAAATAAATATTAGTTTTTAAAATAAAATTATTCAATATAATTTTGTAATATTTATATAATAAAATTAAAATTTAAATGTTGAGAATTGCATTTTGAATATAAATAATTGAACATTTGAATTCTTTTTAATATATTAAGTGTTTTTTTATTTAACTTGATTAACATAATTTAAAAATTTTTGTTTTTGCTACTATGAAATTTCTAAAAAGTAGTATTTCAAAATGATATTGTAAGTGGTCAAAAATATAGAAAAACAAAGAATAATATTCAAATATAGATAATTATTCTATAAATAATTATTAATATTTAAATTAGAAATACATCCAATCAAATGTAGAAAAAATAAAGAAAAAAATTTAAAACTTTAATATAGATACATAATTTCACTTTTCATAAAAATATTTTAGGGCCTCCATTAAATGATTAAAATTTAAATTTGTATTTATATTTATTATTGGAGTTAATTTTTGAATTAATTTTATGTGCTGTATATTTGATGATTTTAAAAATTAATTTTAGATTTCTATTTTTTAAAATTTCAATGTCATAATTATCTAAATATAATTATTTTAAATATAACATTTAAATAAGATAAAAAAAAAACTCAATTTTTTTTAAAGTCAAGCGTTCTCTTTTTATGAATTTTTTTTATTTTTAGGATTTTGATTGGATCTTGATTTTTCTTTTTCTTGGTACAAAGATCTTGAGTATTTTTTAATGTTTATCTGCAAGAAAAAATTTAAGAAAATTTAAAAGCCTAATTATCTTTAAAAAATTAAAAACGAAAACAATAATATTAAATAGAAAATTTTCAAATTTTATTATTATTATTATCATCATCATCATCTAAAATAATTAGAATTTTTCCGGCTGAGAATGAAGAAATCTCTTAAGAATCACCTACCTCTGTTGTCAGATCAGTGAATGATGATGGACATTCATTTGAATTTCTCTATGGTTAACATGCGTTGCAATTTTACAACTGAAAGTTTACTTGCAAATGAAACAACAATATTGTCTTTATTTGGTGTAGTGGCTTTTGTAAATTATTAGATGATCCGTCTGCTTATTGAAAATGTGACATTGGCTGTCTCAGTTGAGGTGAGTGATCCAAATGTAGAGAAAACATTAAGCAGGCTGGAAGGGATACAAAAAGCATACAGTTTGTCAAGCTGTCCTGTGACATTAAATGTCGTTTTCTTTTTTTTTTGGTTTGGCTGACATTTTTCTCACATAAAAAATATCTATAATTAAAGAAATTAGACAAAACAACTTTTAATTCTCTACTTCAAACAGAAGTTTACATGACCATATTCATCTTTCAGTATTGAATCATTATCATTTTTCTTAAATTTTGCTGGGGAAAAAAAAATCCCAAATGATTGAATTGAGTTTTTCAGCAATTAAAATCTGTAGAAAGATTATAATATGAATGTATCTTATTAGCGTATATTTGAATGAAGTACACAAAATACCTTCGGCTTGTTATAACACACTGCTTTTTCCTGACATATATCTAAAGAAAGCCAATCATACCCAGCAGTTTCATTCAAGCATGTCCTTTGGAAGAAGAAAAGAGAAGTACTTCACTTAGCCTCTCTCTTGATATTATGTCTTTAAACCTGAAAAAACAGAGGTTAATGTCATCCCCTCTTTAAGAATATAAGCATCGTAATGTGTTGCAATTCACCACAGTTGGAATTACGTTGTCAATTAGCTATGGAGGTGTCATGATCCAAACCGTGGGCCAGACCGGTACTAGGGCCCAGGTAAATTTAAGATCCCGAGGTCCATAGTAAGCCTGATTTATGAAAATCCATTTCTTTC